CAAAAGCTGTTTTGTGTACCTCCTCAGACCCCAGATGAATCCTCCTCTTCACCCAGCTGGCTGAGGGTGTCCCTGGGCAAGGGGGCCCAAGAGCTGTAGATTTAAAACAGTCCTGGATGAAAAGCTAGTTGAATCTTACACCTGACTGTCCTCTCCTCTTATCTGGCCCAAGGGGAATGAGATTACTTTCCTGTCACTTCAGTGGGTTGATGGCTGCCTTCAGGCCTTTTACTGGGCTGACTCCTTCCCTGCTGTACACTGTCCTCCAATGGAGATGTTGAGGCAGTGGAGATCCTCCCTTCAAGCATTGTGAAAAATTTTAAATCTAAAGAATCCCCAAATCTTAGAGCAGTGGTCTTCAAACTGCGACCCAGGGACCAGATGCGGCCCTTTGCTTACTTTTATCTGGCCCTTGGGGAACTATTTACCTCTGCTGCCCCACATGCCAAAGTCCTGGGTGTCACCCTGGACTCAACCCTTTCCTTCTAACCTCATGTCCAATCACTATCAAGGTCATGCAGGCTCCACCTCCGCAACATCTCCAAGATACGTACGTTCCTCACCCCAGACACTACTAAACAACTTGTATACTCCCTCATCATCTCACGCCTGGACTACTGCAACTCCCTTCTCTCTGGCCTACCCAAACAAACGCTATCCCCACTCCAGTCGATCCTGAACTCAGCGGTGAGACTCACCCACTTCACCAACCGCTCCACATCTGCCACCCCCCTCTGCCAATCCCTTCATTGGCTCCCGATTGCCCAGCGCATCAAATTCAAATGGCTAATTCTGACCTACAAAGCCATTCACAACGCCGCCCCAAACTACCTAACCGACCTGATACCCAAATACCACCCTACCCGTGCCCTCGCTCCTCAGAGGACCTCCTACTCTCTAGCTCCCTGGTCTCCTCCTCCCATGCCCGATTGCAGGACTTCGCCAGGACTTCCCCCATCCTCTGGAACTCCCTACCCCAACCCATCAGACTGTCACCTACCCTCCTCACGTTCAGGCGCACCCTGAAAACCCATCTCTTCAGGGAAGCCTACCCCACCCTCACCTAACAACTGATCTCCTCCACTTCTGCCACCACTCCATCCCGACAGCCACTTCCTCCTGTACCACTTTCCCCTCCTTCCTAGATTGTAAGCTCGAAAGAGCAGGGCCCTCGAACCCCTCGTGTATTGTATAGTTACCGTCTTGTCTCATGTTCTGTGCCCCTTGCTACTGTACAGCGCTGAGCAAATCCTTTGGCGCTATATAAATACTGTATAATAATAATAATAATGGGAAATAATTTCCCCCTACTGACACCTAAGTAGTGGCAGAATTCCTCCCAATGACGGGGCACAATTCCTCCAGATGACACCAACAATGGGGCCCAATGACACCAATGATAGGGCACAATTTGTCCCATTGACACCAACGATGGGGCACAATTCTTCCCACTGACACCACTGATGGGGCGCTATTTCTTCAACTGACATCAACGATGGGGTTTTTTGTATTCCCACTGATGTTGGGACTTTTTCTACCCCCAAAGGCCACAGTCTGGCCCCCTTTAGTCTGAAGGACAGTAAATTGGCCCTTTGTTTAGAAAGTTTGTAGACCCCTATCTTAGAGGTTAAAAGACGCCTAGACATAACATATGAATATGAAAAACATATGGCTTACTCAGTGTTCCAAATTGAATATTATGATTGAGTGAATTACAGCAATGTACTAAGTGATAAATACAGATCCAGTCTGATATTGTCTTTTCCATGTTTGTGATTGCTAAAAAAGCTTCAATAAAATGATGGAAAGTAAAAACACAGTTTATAAAAACAAAAGATATAATGTCTAAAAACTAAAAGCCCGGAGCTGTGGGCTGATACTGATTAATTTGTGAACCACTAGCTATAGCTGGCTGTGTGAGGCTGCCTCTCCTGTTTGGCTGGGAACCCAAGCGCTGTAAGAGAGAAAGGAGTGGGAGAGAGAGGTACCAAGCATTCGCTGGTGCAGTAGGATTTTATTCTATAAAAGGTAAAAACAATAAGTTATGCACTCACAAGTGTCCCAGTTCATGAGCATGGGCAATGTTCAGGGTCCGAAAACTTGAATAATCCTCTTGGAAACTGCTGCAGCCACTGAGAAGCTAACTGAAGCCGATGTAGCAATCCATGGAGCCGCTGCTGGGAACTCTTCAGAAAGCTGTCAGAAGAACTGTCAATAACACCGGAGATTTTGGAGCCAAGCAGCGACGTGTTTCGAAGGCAAGCCACTCCTTCTTCTTCAGTCAGCCTACTACCCCTACCTCCAGAAATATATCATATAATGTTTCCATATTTTTTATCCATCCATACACGCCCATCTAAAGCTTACCTGTCCACAGGCTGACAACGCCGCGGTGTGAGCTCACTGCTGAATGAACAGCATCGTCACCCTATTGCAGTAAGTGGGAAAATAACAGATCTACTAGCAGGATCAACAGGCAATAGTGATGGCAGAAAAAGGCCGAGAGGTCCATCGAGTCCGCCCTTTTGGTTATTTTTTCTGTTTTTTTTGTTTTATTTAATTTATTTTTTTGTCGTTTAGCTTTTAGTATAGATTTATGTTTGTCCGAAGTATGTTTGAAGCTATTTACTGTTGACTGGCTCACCACCTCTGCTGGAAGTTTATTTCAAGCATCAATTTTCAGTAAAATGATACTTTCTGAAATTAGTTTTGAATTTTCCTCCAGTTAGTTTAAAGCCATGTCCTCCAGACTGTACATATTAAGTTTCCTGAAGTCACATATGTTTTATCCCCCAGACCTTTCACCATTCTTGTTACCCGTCTCTGGACTCCTATCTTATCAATATCTTTTTCTAAGTGAGGTCTCCAGAACTGGACACAGTATTCTAAATGAGGTCTAAGACTTACCCAGCGAGGGGACTTACTTCTATGCTATTGAAAGTGACAGACTGATACAGTTGCAAGAAAAAGTATGTGAACCCCTTGGGATTACGTGGAGTTTTGCATGAATTGGGCATAAAATGTGCTCTGAACGTCATCTAAGTCACAACAATAGAAGAACACAGTCTGCTGAACATAATACTAACAAACATTAGATGTTGCCATGGTTTAATTGCACATAACATGTAAACATTCACAGTGCAGGGAGGAAAAAGTTTGTGAGGCCCTAGCTTAATGACCTCTCCCAGAGCTAATTGGAGCCAGGAGTGAGCCAACCTTGACTCCAATCAGTGTGATGATATTGGATGTGTTGCTGACAGCTGTCCTGCCCTTAAAAAACACACACCTGTTTTGGGTTTACTGGTTTCAAGAAGCACTGTCTGATGTGAACCATGCCTCGTAGAAAAGAGCTCTCAGAAGACCTACGATCAAGAATTGTTGACTTGCATGAAGCTGGAAAGGGTTACAAAAATATCTCCAAAAGCCTTGATGTTCATGTGTCCACGTTCATAAGACAGATTGTCTACAAATGGAGAAAGTTTAGCACTGTTGCTACTCTCCCTAGGCGTGGTCGTCCTGTAAAAATGACTGCAAGAGCACAGCGCAGAATGCTGCATGAGGTAAAGAAGAATCCCAGAGTGTCAGCTAAAGACCTACAGAAATCTCTGGCACATGCTAACATTTTTGTTGACAGAATCTACAATAAGGAAAACATTAAATAAGAATGGAGTACATGGGAGGACACCACGGAGGAAGCCATTGCTGTCCAAAAAGAATATTGCAGCACGTTTGAAGTTTGCAAAAGAGCACCTGGATGTTCCATAGCACTACTGGCAAAATATACCATGGACAGATGAAACCAAGATTGAGTTGTTTGGGAAGAACACACAACACTATGTGTGGAGAAAAAAGGCACAGCACACCAACATCAAAACCTCATCCCCACTGTAAAACATGGCGGAGGGAGCATCATGGTTTGGGGCTGCTTTGCTGCCTCAGGGCCTGGACAGATTGTTGTCATTGATGGGAAAATGAATTCCAGAGTTTATCAAGACATTTTGCAGGAAAACGTACGACCATCTGTCTGCCAACTGAAGCTCCGCAGAGGATGGGTGATGCAACAGGACAATGACCCAAAGCATACAAGTAATTCAACAAAACAATGGCTGCAACAGCACAGAATACGCCTTGTGGAGTGGCCCAGTCAGAGTCCTGACCTCAACCTGATTGAAATGCTGTGGCATGACCTTAAGAGAGCGATTCACACCAGACATCCCAAGAATATTGCTACACTGAAACAGTTTTGTGAAGAGGAGTGGTCCAAAATTACTCCAGATCGTTGTGCAGGTCTGATCTGCAACTACGGGAAACGTTTGGTTGAGGTTATTGCTGCCAAAGGAGGGTCAACCAGTTATTAAGTCCAAAGGTTCACATACTTTTTCCTCCCTGCACTGTGAATGTTTACATGTTATGTGCAATTAAACCATGGCAACATCTAATGTTTGTGGAGTATTATGTTCAGCAGACTGTGTTCTTCTATTGTTGTGACTTAGATGACGTTCAGAGCACATTTTATGCCCAATTCATGGAAAACTCCACGTAATCCCAAGGGGTTCACATACTTTTTCTTGCAACTGTATATATATATATATATATATATATATATATATATATATATATATATATATGTGTGTGTATAAAATTTCTGATTTTGCTCATGGTACCTCTTCTTCCCTTTTAGGAATATACATGTCAAGATTTATGATAGTATATAACAAGATTCCAATGGGGAGACTTGAATTCACGTGTGTAAACATCTTGCTGGAGTTCCAGGAAGATATAAGAAGTTGGTTAAAGGTTGAAAGCAAGTTATTAATACGCTCGTTCTGGTGGCATCTAACCAACATTGTAAGGCTAGGTTCACACCTATGCAGTTTGCGTTTGACCTGTTTCTGCATTGCGTTTTGCATTTTTTTACCTGCGTTTTCTCTGCGTTGTTTGATGCGTTTTGCATTTTTTCTTGTTGCTAGGCAGATTTAAAACATAAAACGCATCAAAAATGCTGCAAAAACGCAGCAAAAACACACTACATGCTTTTCTGCAGCTTTTCCATTGAAGTCTATAGAAACAAAAATGCAACTTTATGCGTTCAAAAAAGTCCCTGACTCTTTCCAAAAAAATGCACCGGGTGAAAACGCAGAGATGTGAATGTGTTCCATAGGAAATCATGTTAAATGGGCTGTAGCGTGCTTCTGCAAAACTCTGCGGAAAACGCTTAGCTGTGAATCCAGGGTAAATGTGAGTTTTTGCAGAATCTTTTAAAAGTGAAAAGCAGAAAGAACAAGAGAATCGATAGAAGCTTAGTCAGCTCCTAGTCCTCCCACCATTGACCCTATCTGTATGGTCTTAGTTCCTTACCTGTAGCTGTGACCCAACTTATAAGGAGGCAGAGAAGGAAGCCTGGCATGGTGTTGGTGATGCCAATATCACACAAGGTAAGGTATCTGATGTCAGGATGAAGGAGGAAGTAGTCCGTACACCAGGATGTACAGTATATGAGAATGTGACCGACTCATTTTACTAACACTTTGCAAAAAAAAATCCATTGTGTTACCTTTTGCATTCTGGAGTACATAAACAGATGTTATCAACATGACATTTAACTACATAGTTGTTGCATAACTACCAAACTATAATAAAGGAAATGTATCCAATCACTAAATTCCCATACAAGCTTTAATGTGTAAAAATTGTTCCAAACTCAAAAACAAAAAAAGGAACTTGCGAGGATTTATTTCCACCTGATGATCCTACATTAACACATCACTCCTGTCCTAGGGTGACAACGCTCACTCACTGCACTGTATCTATGGGGGAGCAGCATTGTCACTAGCAATCATTTTGTAAAGTGCAGCGCAAACTCTTGGTGCTATATAAATCCTGTACAGGGGTGGACTGACAACTCATGGGGCCCCCGGGCAATAGGGGATCAAGGGGCCCCTATGTCCTTGCCCAAACTCAAAAAAGCCTATAAAAAAGGTACCAGGGGCATCTCATGGGGCCCCCTACTGGGCCCTCGGGCAGTGCCTGAGTTTCCAAATGGTCAGTCTGCCCCTGATCCTGTATAATAATAATAATAATAATAATATTAATAATAATAATAACAATAATAATGAGTGAATCTACCTAAATTCAATTCACATTGGGTTGGTTGAATCTTGCTTGGAATCTGCAAAACCCAAGCTTATTAGTAACAAACCCTAACAAAGTCTATGAAACGGAATGGCCAGAACATTCTGGTCATTTTTAGGCTAATAGGCAAACTATTGTCAAAAAAGGGCTGGGGAGCCGGGGATTGCCATGGAGTAAAATTAACAACACAAGGCTCAGGCCAATTTTCAGCTTTCAGCGTTGTCGCACTTTGAACGACAATTGCCCTGTTATGCAACTCTGTACCCAAACTACATTTTTTTTATTTTTTTTTAAACCAAAATAGAGCTTTCGTTCTGTAGTATTTAATCACCATTGGGTTTTTTATTTTTTGCTAAATGAACAAAAAAGAGACCAAAAATTTAGAAAAAATGTGTTTTTCTTTGTTTCTGTTAATACATATTGCAAATAAATAATCTTTCTTCATCAATTTAGGACAAAATGTATTCTGCTACATTTCTTTGGTGAAAATATCCCAAATCAGTGTTTATTATTTACTCTGAAGTAAAGTTATAGAGTCCACACACTATAGGATATACAGTATATCTGAAAATCGACCAATCCTGGTGTTCTGACAGCGATCTCATTTTTTGAGGCCCAAAAATGTCAGGACAGTAAAAATAACCTCCAAACGACCCCTTTTTAGAAAGTTGACATTTCAAGGTATTTAGTAAGACGTTGTAATGAAGCAATTTTTGATAATTTTTTTTTCAAAAATAAATAAAAAAAAAAAAGGGTGCAGTACAGCATCATGCCCTAACTGGTGTGGTGGTGATAAAAGATGACCTAAACCCTATTGAGCATCTGTGGGGCATCCTCAAATGGAAAGTGGAGGAGCGCAAGGTCTCTAACATCCACCAGCTCTGTGACGTCGTCATGGAGGAGTGGAAGAGGACTCCAGTGGCAACCTGTGAAGCTCTGGTGAACTCCATGCCTAAGAGGGTTAAGGCAGTGCTGGAAAACAATGGTGGCCACACAAAATATTGACACTTTGGGCCCAATTTGGACATTGTCACTTAGGGGTGTACTCACTTTTGTTGCCAGTGGCTTTAATGGCTGTGTGTTGAGTTATTTTGAGGGGACAGCAAATTTACATGTTATACAAGCTGTACACTGACTACGTCACATTGTAGCAAAGTGTCATTTCTTCAGTGTTGTTGAAAGGTATAATAAAATATTTACAAAAATGTGAGGGGTGGACTCACTTCTGGGAGATACTGTGTGTATAGTCAATAACTTAACTTGACCACTAGTTGGTGTTCTCAGACTAGAAATCCCTATATTCAGTTTTCTGTGAAGAGACTGGATTTATTGGATTCAACCTCTAAGGCTAGGTTCACACCTATGCAGTTTGCGTTTGAGCCATTTCTGCAGTGTTTTGCGTTGCTTTTTGCATTTTTACACCTGGGTTTTTGGCACGTTTTGCGTTTTTTTCTTGTTGCTAGGCAGATTTAAAGCGCAAAATGTAGAAAAAAACGCACTACATGCTTTTCTGTACCATTTCCATTGAAGTATATAGAACTGAAAAAAACATTCAAGTCTCTGACCATTTCCAAAAAATGCACCGGGTGAAAATGCATTGATGTAAAGGTGTCCTATAGGAAATCATGTTAAATGGGCTGTACAGCGTTTCTGCAAAATGCTAAATGCTGCGGAAAACACATAGCTGTGAACCTAGGGTAAAGGAGAAGCCAAATGTTATCCTTAGATTGCTTTGATAAAATATTTTATTTAGCGGGGTATATAGATAGATCCCTCCAAGGGGGTTGTTGCATTATGAGTGATTTTAAATTTTTGGCATAACAGCATCTTAAACATAAAACCTTGGCTACAGAGATGTCATTTTTATTTTCTCCTGTGATGCACGTTAAAATATTAGATACCTAAAAATAATTTATACAAACTATTTCCATCTTGCTTCTGGGAATGTACATTTATGAAATACACATCTTTATTATTATGATGATTACAGGGAAAACATATACTTAGTCATTTTATCTTAATCATGGTTGCATTTCTTTGGATATCATTATGCCTTGTATATACAGTACATACAATATATGGCAAAGCGATGTCCCCTTTTATAGTCTTATGTCTATGTGAGTCCAAAAGTATCAGTATCAGTTCTGGGTAGGGGGCGCGCGCGCCCTACCCGTGCTGCCATTCATGGCCTCGACTGTTACTCATGGGGGTCCCGACCGGTGATTTCTCACCACCAGTACCCAGTGATCGCTGAGTATCACCAACAGGGAGGGACCTGTGTATAAACAACACAGATCTCTCCCCTGTCAGCTCCTGCACACTGCTTTGAATGGCTCTGCATAACACAGCCATGCAAAGCAGTGTGCTTAAAGTGAAGTACAAAACACACAATTAATCTTTAGTATCGCTTTAACGTGAGCCTGTAAGATTGATTCATTTGGTAATAAGCAATTCTCATACAGAAATCCTAAGCCATAATTTACTCTTAAAGGCTCTGACAAAATTAATTCTTTCATTATTAAAGCCTGTTTATCTTTATGTTACTTATGTCTGCTTTGTAACTTGTTTTCTGTAAATATTTCCTGCACCATTTAAAAGTAATTACTCTGAATCTCTGAATGCTCTAATTATAAATGTAAATGTTAAAAAACTACTGTAGTGTACTTTCAGTTACATTCTTGTCTGAGAGTGGCAGAGAGGAATACAAACATTATTCAAAGGCCAGAATTGCAACTGCAGATGCTGTGAATGGGTGTGTGTTCCTATTAAAACAAGGAAGTGGTGACTAACGTATTTGTGTAAGACGTAAAGTGTTACTAAACCCACAACAGTAAACTCAGTCTGTATATGCAGTAAAGCATGCTTGTTATACTCATTGTGGGGTTAATCCTTCACTTTGTGCAAAATGGATGTTTGATCCTCTCTTCTCTGATCCTCCCCTTCTTCCATTGTCCTCTAAATATCTCATGACAGAACATGGAAATGTATGGCTACTACAAATCCATTGTTTGTTATTTTAACTAACTTACCTACAGTATATCAAACTCCCCACTTCTAAAGTGCAGGTCACGTGGTCACTATAGCTTCATAAGTGATTCACAGACCTGCTAGTGGGCATGTACAGAATGGGGACATTATGTCATTGCCAGAAATAATGTTGCTGCCATCCTTGTCCAAGAAGAAGGGAGGAATGGCTGGAGGCAAGAAGGATGGATAGGGAGGAGCAGATGGAGACAAGACAGAAGGGTTGAGTGGAGCAGCTAAAGGAAAGACAGATGGGTGGAGAGGAATGGCTGGAGGCAAGAAGGATGGGTGGGGAGGAGCAAGTGGAGACAAGACAGATGGGTGGGGATGATCGGCTGGAGGCAAGAAGGATGGTTGGAGACAAGATGGATGGGTGGGATGATGAGCGGCTGGAGGCAGTACAGATGGGTGGGGAGGAATGACTGGAGGCCAGCAGGAAGGGTGGGGAGGAGCAGCTGGAGACAGGATGGATGGGTGGGGAGGAATGGCTGGAGGCAAGAAGGATGGCTGGAGACAAAATGGATGGGTGGAGATGAGCGGCTGGAGGCAGTACAGATGGGTGGGGAGGAATGGCTGGAGACCAGCAGGAAGGGTGGGGAGGAGCAGCTGGAGACAAGATGGATGGGTGTGGAGGAATGGCTGGAGGCAGTACAAATGGGTGTGGAGGAATGGCTGTGTCACAAGTTAGCCTCTTGTTTGTTTATTCTTACCTCCTTGCTGCTCCTGATTCCTTTCACATGTGTGGTTTGTCTATGCTCACCTATGGGCAAAGTCTGCTGTCCTCTGGGTTTTATTTCCTTCCCTTCCATTACTTCCTGTCCCGCCTCCTGGTTTGCCTGTCTATATAAGAAGTGCTCTGACTAGGCCACTTTGCCTGAGCAACTTCCTAGTTGTTGGAGCTCCCGTGTGTTACTACTGGCTGAAGCCTACATTGTCTACTCATATACCAAACCCGGCTTTGTTCTCGGACCTTGCTTGTTTTTCACCTGTCCTGACCTTGGCTTGCCTATTGGATTCCATTTGTCTCCTCCCTTTATACTCTGCTCCCGCGAGCAGTCTTCTCAACCTCAGCTGGGTGTACATGGGGGCCGCGACCTGGTCCCAGCTTGCTGCAAGTCCATCCTCACCATCAGGGGCTCTGGTGAACAAGCAGGCTGGGGCTTTGACTCAGCGCCCTGGGGAACCCCAAGTTAAGGATCAATAAGAGCTCACTACCACAGGTGCTGACAGGCTGGAGGCAAGAAGGATGGGTAGGGAGGAGCAGCTGGAGGCAGTCCAGATGGGTGTGGAGGAATGGCTGGTGGCAAGAAAGATGGATGGGGAGGAGCAGCTGGAGACAAGATGGATGAGTGGGGATGAGCGGCTGTAGGCAGTACAGATGGGTGTGGAGGAACAGCTGGAGGCAAGAAGGATGGATGTGGAGGAATGGCTGGAGGCAAGAAGGATGGGTGGAGAGGAGCAGCTGGAGACAAGATGGATGAGTGGGGATGAGCGGCTGTAGGCTGTGCAGATGGGTGTGGAGGAACGGCTGGAGGCAAGAAGGATGGGTGTGGAGGAACAGCTGGAGACAAGACAGATGGGTAAAGAGGAGCAGCTGGAGGAAGAACAGATGGGTAGGGAGGAATGGCTGGAGGCAAGAAGGATGGGTGGGGAAGAACAGCTGAGACAAGACATATGGGTGGGGATGAGCGGCTGGAGGCAGGACAGATGGGCAGGGGGGCACAGCTTTCCACTCACCACAAAACTTACAGACACACTGCAATCTTGCACAGAGCGCCTGTACAGTCAAAACACATAAACTAACAATGCTGTCATGAATGTATCAGCCGTGATTAGAATGGTCAGGAAGAGAGGCAAGATAAATCAGGTATTATTAAACACAGGAAGGAGTAAATATCGTTGCATTAGTACAGAGTATATTATCTTGCTTTAACCACTTGCCAGCCGTGCTTTAGCCAAATGACAGCTACAGCACGGTCAGCCAATTCTGGGAAGTTGTCTATTGATGTCCTTCCAGAACTGTATCCCCTCACGCACCTGCTGCAGAATGCACCTGGCGTGCTTTGAAATCCTTGTTTCTTTCAGACACAGCTGATCACAGAGAGAGGTAAAGGGCCAATCACAGTGTCCCATTACCATGTGATCAGCTGTATCCAATCACAGCTGATCATGATGTAAACACACTTAAAACACGATTATCAGCTTTTCCTTTCCTCACGCTGTCACAGCTAGAGAAGAGAGCCAGTAACCAGCAAGTGTGAAAGGGGACATCTACACTAATAATCAGGGCACTAATCATCCATGTCCTGATGATCAGTGCAGCCCCAATAGTGCCCATCATTGCTGCCTATCAATGCCAATCAGTGTCCATCAGTGCTGTGAATCAGTGCCTATCAGTGCTGCCAGTCGGTGTCCATCAGTGCCACCTATCAGTGCCTCCTATCAGTGCACATTTTTGCTACCTATCAGTGCCCTTCAGTGCTGCCTATTAGTGCCCATCAATACCACCTATCAGTGCTGCATATCAGAGCAGCCTCATCAGTGCCCACCAGTGCTGCCTCACAGTGCCACTTCATCAGTGACCATCATTTCAGCCTCATCAGTGCACCTCAGTGAAGGAGAAAAATGACCTGTTTGCAAAATTATAACAAAAAACATTTTTGTTCAAAAATGTGGTCTTATATCATTTGCTTAGCAAAAAATGTGGTGATTAAATACCACCAAAAGAAATCTCCATTTGTGTGAAAAAAATGATAAAAATTTCATATGGGTACAGTGTTGCATGACTGCGCAAATGTCATTCAACGTGCAACAGCACTGAAAGATGAAAATTGGCCTGGGCATTAAGGGGGTAGAAGTGCCCGGTAGGCAAGTGGTGAAAGAGACGGCACTCTTTGTTTTTTTTTAGTTTTACAAACACTTTAAACTGCTCAATGACAATCACCCTCAGTCTACTGGTACTTACAGTGTTGTGCTGCAAGCCGAAGGCCTCTGCACAGGGTGAGGCTGGGTAAGTAATCATCACATAGCCCACCACACTGCAGTAATGTAGCACAGTATAGCTCTGTATAGTAACAAACTCTCCCTACACAGACTTTCAGCTCTTCCTAATCTACTAAAAGTCATACTGGCAAACGGCTGCTGGGAACCCACCCTTTATAGTGAGGGGTTTGTACATAACAAAGCCCCGAATATTGTCCCTTGTAAAACAGCTGGCCTAAACTCAAAGCCAAACACAAGAACAAACAGGGCTCTGGATTTGGATTTTCTAAGGGTCACTGAAATTGTCACTAGGCCCGTTGGCTCCCATTCGGCAGCACTCCACAAAACGGGGAGCACCCTCAGGAAAAAGGCAAAGGACCCAGAGTTGAGAATCTGCACACATACTGTACAATCCAATGGGAGCACCAAACAAATGTCCAAGAGTCCAAGGTATTTTAATGATAAAAGTGATTAATAGAAGAATAAAGCCACCATGTTTTGGGGACCATACACACTACTCCTTCAGGGCTTAAGGATTCTCCAATGTTTCCAGAGGACAGGTTACGAGTTAGTAAATGCAGGAAAGC